CTGTGGTGAGAAGGGATGAGTCGTGGTGCGCAGGGCCAGGCTGCCACACACAGCCCAAAATCCGTCGGTGCCGTTTTGCGTGGAAGGGACGAGGTTCTCCGGGGCTGGCAGTGGGTGAGCTGGGATGTGCCACCCTGCAGGCTGTTTATTCCTTCCTCTCCCACCTTGTTCCAGCTTCTTTTGGAAATGTCTCCTAGCTGATCCGTCTGTTTGGCAGATTGCACCAACACTGTGAACCGAGCTCCGCTGGGATGGGCTGTGCACCGCCGAAACGAGACCTGAGCCACACGCTTGGAATACGAAGAGACAGCTTCCCAGACACTCTGGGGCTCCTCTCCTGCTTCTTCCTTCTTTTTCTTTTAAAGGAATACATTCCTGTGCAGGGATGGAATGTTTCTTCCAGCAGACATGGCTCTTGGCTGGAGGAAAATTAGCCAAGCGGCTGCTGGGACAGATGATGAACTTTCACCCACCTGAGCCTGATGGTTCATAGGGAAAGAGATGGAAAAAAGGAGATGGCAACAGGCATGGCTCAGTGCTGTGGGGAAAGGGAACATGGTGATTCCTGGGGCAGCTCAGAGCCATGTGCAGGACACTGAAGCATTGTGCACGTGGGCAATATCCCAGCACTCGGCAACTTGTATCCGTGCCTCGGAGCTTATTTAGAGAGTTTTAGTGTTCTCATCAGACTGGGCTGTCTTCTAGCGTCCGAGGAGGTGACGTTATCAGCAGCAAATAAGATGATCCAACCAGCCAAAAAAATTCAAAGCAGGGCCAAGACCCCAGCACCCAGCTCTACTTGGTGAGTTAAAAATGGAGCTGAGTCATCAGAGCTGGAAAATCTGAAAGTAAAGGCAGGATGGATGCGCTGGGAGGGTGCTGTGGCCTGGAGGGAGCTGCACCAGGAGATCGTCCTTCATCAGTGGGCAGAGGGGGGAGCCCATGCAGGGGCCAGTGGGAGCAGACGTGGATGCTGCCGGGTTGTGTGGGTGCTGCCCCAGGTGAGGATGGGGGATTACTGGGTGCCAGGTACCCCCAACACCGATGCCCAGCCCTGCTCCTCTCCATGCTCCCACCAGCTCTGAAGAGCTCTGCTCCACCAGGCATTGGCAGGTGCTCATCTTGACCTCCTGCCCAGGGGCTGGCGATGGTGCCACCAAACCCGGGCGCCTTCCTGATGACCTTCACCATCAAGAAGGTGAAGGTGTTTGCTGTTATACCCCTCCACCCACTAAACCGCCCTGTCCAGAGCCACAGGCTGCTCATGTGGGCAGGTAAGGAACACCCATGTGTAAAATAGGATCTGGGGGTGGGGTGGATGCTGTCACCTCCCCACGGTCCTCCTCCAGTGATGAGGGCAGGGCTGTGGATCATGGGGGTCCAAAAAGAGCAGCACCCCAGAGTCCCTGGGGCACTGGGATGTGGAGGCAGGTCACAGTGCCCCCCAGCCAGGCACCCACGCACCTGCTCCTCTGCTGGTAATAAATTAGAGACTGTTATTTTAACTCACTGCTTTTCCAACTCTTCCCACGTCTGAACTTGCGCCGTGAGTTTGGTCCCTTCAGCCCTTCCTGGGTATGCTCAGGAAATGTCTACAGCCCTAAATCCCCTGGGACAAGCACCTCCATGTGGGACAGGGGTCCTGATGACAGTCCTGTGGGAAAGAGCCTCAGCCTGGGGGTTTGCCAGCATTTATTTCCTCCGCAGCTCCAGAACCATTGAGAAGTAAGAAGCTTCTCATCTTTGCTGGCATGTGGCTAAATGGGGACAGTGGGGGAATTTGGGATCATAGGTTCTGCTGTGAGGGAGGGATATGGTGGGGCAGTGCAGGATGCAGGATGCATGGAGCATCTCTGGGCTCTGGCTGCGGTGACTGCACTGAAACCCCAGAGGAATTGTACAAGGTTCAGGTGATGGAAATATCTCAGAAAAAAAAATCTGGTTCTCAAACCATTTTGCTTTGGATAACAGATTCACCAAATGGTACTTAGATCCAAGCATGGGGGTTCTCTCTCCTGCAGCTGAGTGATCCCAACAGCACCAGCACTGCTGGTGAAATTTTCCACACACATCTGTCACCCTCAGAGCAGAGGTTTGGTGCTGGTCTGAAGGCAAAGCCTGCAGATATCCAAAATCCGAATTTTCTCCTGGAAGGCATAATCTGGTTGGTGCTCACAGCACAGTAACCCAGACCACATGACTGATATGTCTCTTCTCTGGGGGTTGGGGGTCTGTGACCCCCTGGCTCCATCTGCAGGGAACCAGCTCCAGGGCTTTCCTGTGTGCAGCCCCCAGCACCCCAGGACACGGAAATTGGAATTTTTTACTCTGCCCGTACTGACCTTTTCAAATATGCAGCAAAATTGGCTCTTCTCACCTCACTAGAGACTCATGATCAACAGAGCTGGGAGAATTTATTGAATTTTACGAATAGGAAAGAAAAGACAGGAAAAAGCCTATCTCCCCCCTGCAGGGTTTGTTTTTGCCCTGGCGGTGAGTGCTGGGGGGGCAGTGGGAGTGGTGGGGGGGCACAGGGGACTGCGGTGTGGCTGGAATGTCGAGCACCCCAGAGAGCAAAGGACGGCTGCCGGGTGTCTGCGCATCGTTAGAGGGAGATACTGAGCTTCTCTCCAGAGCTTCGGAGCTGCACAGGGAGAAATGGCTTCTCCAGGCTCCAGCTGGGCTCATGCGGTAAGCTGGTGGAGATTTGGCTCTTAATGCAGCTGTGGCACACAGAGCAGTGCTGGGGCTGCCCCGGACCCTCTGGGAAAGGCAGAGTCCCTGTCCAGGTCCTGCCCCAAAGCCCAGCTGCCCTTTGCTGTGGTGCCCCCATGTGTCATGTTCACCTCTGCCGGGCTGTGCTCTGGCTCCCTCCAGCTCCTTCTCCACATGGAAGAAAGGAGACACAGAAGAAAGCAGAAACACCACCGGTACACTTGGATGGAACTCCAAGTACAGCCCTGCTGGGGTGTCCCTCTGAGACCCACCAGGGAAGGAAGGGGCTGGAGGAGCCAGGTGAAACAATACTCACAAGACAGGCAGAGGATGCTGTCCTGCCCCCAGTCCCCTGCTCTGCGAGGATGGCGGTGGTGAGAGTAGAACATCCTTCCAGGCTGGCTCTGGAGCACTGCTCTCATTCTGGGCCAGTGTCTGGTGCCATCTAATCCCCTTGGCTTGCCCAAGGGGCACCCAGGACTCTGCCCAGGGAAGTAGGATTCATGTGGAGCAGCCCTGACACAGCTTTGCCTTTGGTAGCTCTGGGCGCACAGCACAAATCCATCTGCGTGGTGGATCCAAGGCAGCACAGTCCTCCCCATGGGCAAGAACCTGGGGGGGTGCTGCACCAGAACCCTGGAAACTGGAGGGAGATGGATGCTCAGGTTCTCAGACCGAGGCACAGCTCGGTCACTTCTCAGCTTCTGCTGAGCAAGAAAAATACCTTCTACTTGTCCAGCTCTTATCTGCCAGTGGTATTCCAGGCACTGCCCCAAAACAAACACCACCAGACAATGAAACACAGATGAATTGGGCGTGGATTCATGCAATATTAAAACCAGACAACAATTAAAGCAAACAGAAAACACTAGCAAGTATCAGTCAGCCCCCTGCAGCAGACAGGAGGATACAGGCAGCAGCACTGGGGCACAGGGTCAGGCAATAGCCACTCACAGAGCATGTGACTCCTGTCTCTGATAAACTTTTTTGCCACTTTTTTTTGGTGGACATTTTTTGCAATAATCAGGACAATGCATTGCTGGCATCAAGGATAATGTTCAGCATCTTCCTGTCTTACAAAAGAACAATCCAGCAATCCATTCCCAGTGGTAGAGGCGGTTCACAGATTCCAGCAAGGTTTTCAAGCAGAAAATAAAAAAGCCAGCAGAGATGCCCATAGAAAATGTATGCAAATTTGTCTGAGTAATTACTGAGCCCGGCTTGATGATGCAGACACCTCCAGCTCTGAAACGCTGCTGATTGCAGCTCTGATGCAGGAAACGATCCCCATTCCTCTGACACTGAAATTCACGCCCGGTGCTGAAGGAGCCTGCGCTGTCCCTGGCTGCACGGGGTGAGAGGACACAGTGTGCTGAGCAGGGAGGTGTCAGCTCCTGCCACCGGCTCTGCTGAGCTGGAGCCAGTTTAAATCAGAATCCTATCCCCAGTGGATTGCTTGCTCAATCTAATTAGGACCCTGTCATCCCATCAGGTGCCCAGGGAGGATTACAAACCACCCAAATTGTTGGATGGGAAGCTTGATGTGAGCATGAAACATGTGCTGGCAGCCCAGAAAGTCAACTCTGGGGTGCATCTCCAGCAGTGTGGGCAGCAGGGTGAGAGAGGTTTCTCCTCCTCTGCTCTGCTCTGGGGGGGCCCCACATGCAGTGCTGCCTGCAGCTCTGGGGCCCTCTCAAGGGCTGGAGCACCTTTGCTATGGATGCAGGCTGAGAGAGAGAGGGTTGTTCAGCCTGGAGAAGAAAAGGCTCCGGTGTGACCTATGAGCACCTTCCAGTGCCTAAAGAGGCTCCAAGAGAGCTGGAGAGGGACTTTGGACAGGAGCATGGAGTGACAGGACAAGGGGGAATGGCTTCAGATTGGCTGAGGGCACAGTTAGATTGGATATTAGAAAGAAATTCTTGCCTGTGAAACTGGTGAGGCCCTGGCACAGATTGCCCAGAGAATCTGCAGATGCCCCATCCCTGGAAGTGAGCAGCAGACTGGCAGGGCTGCCTGAGTGCTGGTCTAAATCAGAGTAACCCTGGGAGGTGTGAGATGCCAGCTCCTGCAAGGGGGACAGTGAAACAGCTGCTCCTGGGCTGCTCCAGCAGCCTCATCCCAGTACTGGCAAACCTCTGTCTGCCTCATCCCATAGCCCTGATCCCCATCCCTCTGCCTGGTGCTGGAGGACAAGACAGGGCTTGTGGGCGTGCAGGGTCTCACAGCGACAGCAGCAGAAGTCTTCTGCCCCAGCATGTCCTTACTGCACATCCAGGACTAATCAATCTTGATTCATTGCTAATGAACTTGAGAACAGTGTTGGGATGGATCAGGTGCCACTCAGGGTGAGATGGATAATATAATTAAGATTTCCTCAACGGTCCCGTTTTTCTTACCTTGTTAATTAAGCTGACGTGGGGCCCTCCATGCAGAATACGTAATGAGAGGCTGCCAAGACAGAGCTGGCTGTTAGCAGGAGGTGGTGCTGGGGAAAACACCGGCCTTGACCACATGGTTGGGGATAGTTTAGGAATTCTTTGGGAGTTTGGTCTTCCCAGAGTGGCCAAGAGCTGATCTCTACTGAGAAGTCACTACACCCTTTAGACAAATGCACTTGAACTGCACAGGGCGGATCGTGCAGTCACAGGGATGCAGGTGGAGATGGATGGGCTCATCCACACCCAGGACAGGCTGAGCACCACAGGGCAAATTACAACTTCCCAAAGCACAGCCCAGGGTGTGGGCACAGCCACTGCCTGCAGAAAGCCACGAGCAGCCCCATGGCCTCAAGGAGCGTCTCTCACTGCTGCTGGAGCCAACGGCATGGGAAGGAGGGAATGCTGCTCCACTCCCCACGGCCCAGGCATGTTTTTGGTACTTGCACTCTGGTGGTGACTTATGACAATGAATTAATGGCCTCTTAATAAGGGTGACAGTTCCCTTAATTAGAAAGTATCAGAGCAGGGATAATTGCTTTATTTCATTTAGTTCCCCTATATTACTTCCTTCATTTTTGGTCCTCATTCTCAGCTGCTGGCTGCCCTCTGGGAGCTCTTCCTTCCCAGAGCCAGAAACACTCCCAGGGTCAATGGACATGACATGGAGAAGGGAAGGATGGAGAGAGGTGGGTGTGGGTATGGCTGTGGTGCTGTGGCTTCACTGGGACAAAGATGGAGGGGGCAGGTGCAGATCCAGATGTGGTGCTGCCACTTTCACAGGGACAGAGCCAGGTTTGTGGCAGCGCCAGGTGCTGGCAGCACCTGGGCAGGGTCAGAACAGGTCCTTGGCTGTTCACACTGGGGTCGGTGGCACATGGGACAGCCCAGCACAGGACATGGGGCTGGAAAGGCTGGAGTAAACAGGAGAGAGCTTCTGGAGGAGTTCCCAAGGATGACCCACCAGAGAGCAGGCAGCAAGCAGCAAGTAACAGCTCTGAGATAAATTATTAATTCCAAAATTGGTATCATTTGGGTCGACTAGAGCTGTGCCCCAGCCCGGATGCACCAGTAGCTTTGCTGCAAAACAAAGTTGAACACTCACAGTGTTTCACTTGTGTCTTTTTTGGAAGGCCAGATTTGGGGTTTGGTTTTGATAAAACATTCCCAGGCAACGTGTTTGCCCAGGCTGTTAGTGGGGGGCTCCAGGAAAAACCTTCACACCCCTCACCCAAACTGAGCCACTTCGCTTCCCATCAGAGGGTGCATTTTCTAAAACTAGGGAGGATTTGGTGAAGCCACAGAGCTTCATCACCAGTCCTGTCCCTCATCCCTGCATTCCCTCCTGCCCTCCATGGTGCTGTGGCTGCCCCAGAGACCTGCCCTCCTGGATTGGGAGGGGTCCCAGTGGGACCCT